AAGTACATCATGGCCCAGTGGGTATTACATGTATCTGGGGTAACTCGGGATGCTGGTTTGATTATACCATCCTGCTCCAACTAATAATAATAATAATTTTTGTATTGATAAAATATGCATACATAAGAACATAATACAGTGGTATATTGATCTAACCAAAATTAATTTTGGTTAGATAAACAGCTAAAAATATCATCATGATTATTATCTTTTTTCAACTTTTATGGGGTAAGTAGGTGTTCGACTGGGAAACTTAGAACAGCATTGGGAATGATGGTTAAAAATATTGTAAATGTGTACACATTCAATGGTAAATGGTATCACAGAGACCCAGAGGCATCAACATAATAATAATAATATTTATTTACTAGAAGGTACAATGGGTTGGTGAGATTACATAAGATTGGTATTTTTACATTTTTGCAAAGCCACTAGCACACATAGCATTTTGGACAGGTCCTTAATCTAACATATCAGGTAAGACGATTTAAGGTACAGTGCAGCAAAATTTATATCAATATATAAGTACAATAAAAAATTACAGAGGTGATTATACTGGTAATCACCTCTACTGATTAAGTACTGTCTTAAGTACAGTACTAATATTGGGAAAGTGGGTAGTACAAGATACAGTGGGAGTTCGAAGCACAAGGTAGGAAACTATGAGGGTTAAATTAGGTACCTTTTGGTTTTTACTTTTGAATAAGCCAAAGGTTGGACAATTTTTTAATTTATTGGGGAGGGAGTTCCGTAGACTGGGTCCTTTTATTTGCATGGAGTGTTTGCATAGATTTAGTTTGACTGGGGATATCAAAGAGATACTTGTTTCTGGTGTGGTGCTCATGGGTTCTATATTACACCTATCAGTGAAAAGTTTCAGAGCAAGCTCCTATCAATTTGCAACCTGCACATTCGATACCCCGTTATGCCCTGCGACCTACAGCACAGTGAATCACCACACTTAGCATAGCTTTCTGTCATTTCTCTTAACTTAAGTCACTATTTACTTACTTTATGGGCAATGCCTATATATCATTTGGATGACATTGAACTGCCTTCCGGTCCAGAGGTGGGTGTTGAACTACTGTACCTACCGGTCTATGGGTGGTGTTGAACTACCTACCGGTCTATGGGTGGTGTTGAACTTCCTCGTCCCAGTCTATGGGTGGTGTTGAACTTCCTCGTCCCAGTCTATGGGTGGTGTTGAACTGCCTTCCAGTCTATGGGTGGTGTGAACTGCCTTCCAGTCTATGGGTGGTGTTGAACTGCCTTCCAGTCTATGGGAGGTGTTGAACTGCCTACCGGTCTATGGGTGGTGTTGAACTGCCTACCGGTCTACGGGTGGTGTTGAACTACCTAAATAAATAAATAAATAAATAAATGTTTATTTAGGTAAGGTACATACATACAAGAAATTTTTACAAAGATTGGTTGACTTATAGGTAGAGCTAGTACATACAATGCCTAAAGCCACTATTACGCAAAGCGTTTCGGGCATGAAAAACTTAAATGACAAGCTTAATACTAATTGAGCATAAAGAGTAGAATGAAAACAAGAAATGAAAACATAGCTGAAAAAGCAGCACAAATACAATTATGTCGACAAACAGCGCTCTTTAAAAAAAAACAGACATTGGTTGACAATAGAAGGGTAAGGTAGGTTACAGGGAATTTATTAGGTATAGCTTCGTTTTTTTTTTTTTTTTTTTTTTTTTTTTTTGAGATATATACAAGAGTTGTTACATTCTTGTACAGCCACTAGTACGCGTAGCGTTTCGGGCAGGTCCTTAATCCTATGGTCCCTGGAATACGATCCCCTGCCGCGAAGAATCGTTTTTTCATCCAAGTACACATTTTACTGTTGCGTTAAACAGAGGCTACAGTTAAGGAATTGCGCCCAGTAAATCCTCCCCGGCCAGGATACGAACCCATGAAATAGCGCTCGCGGAATGCCAGGTGAGTGTCTTACCACTACACCACGGAGACTGCATGCTTTTATCTTAAACTGGTTGAGAGAGGTACAGTCTTTAACATGGTTGGGAAGGTCATTCCACATTCTGGGCCCCTTGATTTGTAGAGCATTTCTAGTTTGATTAAGTCGTACTCTAGGAATATCAAAACTGTATTTATTTCTGATGTAGTGCTCATGGGTTCTGTTACAACCTTCTATGAAGCTTTTGAGATCAGGATTGGCATTATAGTTTAGCGTTTTATATATGTATAATACACATGAGAGAATGTGCAGTGACTTAATGTCTAACATATTCAGAGATTTGAGTAGGGGTACCGAGTGACGTCTGGGGCCAGAGTTGGATATTGTCCTAATAGCAGCTTTGTGTTGAGTAATTAGAGGACGTAAGTGATTTTGGGTAGTAGAACCTCCTGGTTTCTGGGTGGTGTTGAACTACCTACCGGTCTATGGGTGGTGTTAAACTGCCTCGTCCCAGTCTATGGGTGGTGTTGAACTGCCTTCCAGTCTATGGGTGGTGTGAACTGCCTTCCAGTCTATGGGTGGTGTTGAACGCCTTCCAGTCTATGGGTGGTGTTGAACGCCTTCCAGTCTATGGGAGGCGTTGAACTGCCTTCCAGTCTATGGGAGGTGTTGAACTGCCTTCCAGTCTATGGGAGGTGTTGAACTGCCTTCCAGTCTATGGGAGGTGTTGAACTGCCTTCTAGTCTATGGGAGGTGTTGAACTGCCTCCCAGTCTATGGGTGGTGTTGAACACCCTCATGGAACCCCCTCACACCTTCAAGGAACTTAGTCAGAGACTGGGCCGCGGGGACATTGATTCCCGAAATCTTTTGCCTCACCAGACAGAGTTTACCTCACCAAGGTAAGGTAAACCCCTCACATCCTCATGGAACACCTCACTCCATCAACGGCATCTGAAAATTAAATGTAGAAATATGTTTTGCCATTATATTATTTAATACACGTTTGCTGAAAATAATCCCAATACATATATATTAAGATTCGAATACGCTAAGAACTTGAAATGATTAAACATTATACCACACAAAATATAAAATTAGTTTTAATTTAAATTTCCGGCTCAACATGCGTTGGACAGACCAGTATTAGTCTGAGAAATGTTCCAGTATGAGCTGTGGCCACACGTGGACTTTTTACCTCACCATAATTGGCCGTAGGCACGCCAGTCCAACGGATACATGACACATTGTACACAAGTCGGCTCACCAACGGATACATGACACATTGTACACAAGTCAGCTCACCAACGGATACATGACACATTATACACAAGTCGGCTCACCAACGGATACATGACACATTATACACAAGTCGGCTCACCAACGGATACATGACACATTGTACACAAGTCAGCTCACCAACGGATACATGACACATTATACACAAGTCGGCTCACCAACGGATACATGACACATTGTACACAAGTCAGCTCACCAACGCATTTTAAAACCTTCCTAACCCTTTCCGGGACTAACCCATCAGAGCCTAACACAGTCTAACCTTCGCTAATACAATTCAATAAAGCCCTTTTTGTTTTTCTAATTGTCAAAACCGTATATATATATATATATATATATATATATATATATATATATATATATATATATATATATATATATATATATATATACTGTATATATATATATATATCATTAGGCTAGGATGCATTAGGCTCGGTTGGTTGCGTTAGGTTAGCTTAAGCTTAGGAAGGTTTTATAATCCATTGGAGATCTGTTTTAAGTACAATGTGTGTTTTGTATTTGAAGCGGCTACACATTGCTGGTTGCAAAATGATAGCAATGACACTTCCCCCCTGATAGCAGCACGTCCCTCTGAAGAGCAACAATTCACTCTCGTAGTAATATCACTTAAAAAACAGTTCCCATGCAAATCCACACACACAAACCAACAAATTTAATCGACAAATTAACCCACATTCCAATTTTCTTCTTCAATATCCACTTACGACCAGTAGCTGCTCAAGTTTTCATGGAATAATAAAGGAGGAACGTAGCGACCCATTAGCAACCTTCTCGCTCCGTGACACTTGCTAAATTCATGGCGCTTTTTTAATATGAAGATTGAGTGGTCTTTTTGTCGATGTCTGCAAATTCCATTTTGTTTTTGTCATCTGGATTAACAAAAACCAGTAACATGAATTAGCGGTTAGAGTAAATTGGTTTGTAACCTGGTGGTTCGGGGAGCCTGAAGACTTGCCTAAAGCCTAAACCGGTTTGAAACTAGAGTTAATAATAATAATAATAATAATAATAATAATAATAATAATTTATTCACAAGAAGGTACAATGGGTTGGTGAGATTACATAAGATTGGAAATTGTACATTCTTGCCAAGCCTACTTACACGCATAGTGTTTCGGGCAGGTCCTTAAAGGCAGATTCTCATCAGCTAACTCATCAGCTCTTATCATGCATTAGGAGGCCAACATGAGATGGAGTCCACATGAAATTGAAACTGTTACCACCATAAATGCCGTTTTGCCACGAGAGCCTCACTTCAGTCGTATGTTGAAGGTCATTTAGAAAAACTCAATATTTCAGCATTTAATGTTCCGCGGTCTGGCTAGGATGGTTATGGGGTGTCATTCACGACCATTCGCGTCGTTGAAAATGTTTATGGTCTTCTACATTTACTTCAAACAAGCCATATAGGACCGGTATATAGCACTAGGGGACAGGTGGAAATTGAGTGCCTAAATGAGCCATAGAGACATAGGAAGAAATGTTTCAGTGTCAGAGTAGTAGACAAATGGAATGCATTACGAAGTGATGAGGCTGACTCCATACACAGTTTCAAGTGTAGATATGATAGAGCCCAGTAGACTCAGGAACCTGTACACCAGTTGATTGGCAGTTGAGAGGCGGGACCAAAGAGCCAGAGCTCAACCCTCGCAAGCACAACTAGGTAAGTACAAGCATGCGTGTATTGGCGGCAGCGACCAATGGTAAGAGGTGGTGAGCCTTTCAGGCAACGCTATTGGTCAGCGTTCCATTCCTGATGAGCCAATCAGGTAAGACCATTGACCAGGAATCCCTCTTCAGTAGGCTCTGTCGCTAGCAGGCTTTCGCTAGCTTAGTCACAGTTAAGGTCAACACGACGGTCACACTTCAGTCGGCACATTTGTGCCAGGTGAGAACGACGGGCTCGCCATAGCCCGTGCTGCTTGGAACTTGTTGTTCCGTAATTGAATCTATAACAACAAGAACAAGAAGAAGGTCATACCTGCTGTTCGTCTCTATGGTACAGGTGTACAGTATTGGCGCCATTCTTGAGGCTACTTGGGACAAAGCCTTAAGAACATAAGAACAAGGTAACTGTAGAAGGGCTATTGGCCCATACGAGGCAGCTCCTATCTATAACCACCCAATCCCACTCATAAACATGTCCAACCCACGCTTGAAACAATCGAGGGACCCCACCTCCACCACGTTACGCGGTAATTGGTTCCACAAATCAACAACGCTGTTACCGAACCAGTATTTATCCAAGACATTCCTAAATCTAAACTTTTCCTATTTATACCCTTTTATACCTTATGCTCACATTATTTCATGAGAACACTCACACCACCTCAATGAGAACATTCATATCTTGTTAATGAGACAAATAATTTCATGATGAAGCATGCTGTTCATTTGATCTCCAATGCCCTTGGAAGGTGCATGAACCGGAGTATGGAAAGTGCAATTTAAAGTAACCAATTATATATATACATTAATTACCATTACGTTTTATGAATAGTTAAGTAATTCTCAGGAGAAAGCTGCAGAAAGACAAGGAGCTGCGATAGGAGTATAGGACTGAGGGACGGCATGATCCCTAATCACTTGGACCATTCAACGCCGACCTACAAGAAGCGTGACCATCGGTCTACCAACTAGTCCAAGTAGTTGGGTCTATGGCGCAAGGAAGTCACATACAGCACCCGAGCAAGAGATGCCAAGTGTCAGGGTGAAGCAATACCAGGCTATAAACTTCATGTTATTATTATAATTGTTAGTATTTTGAATCTTGGCCCTCGGAGGTGGATGATTTTCATTGCCAGAACAGTATAAAATCTGGACCGTCGTAATATGAGCTAGACACCCCTGGTGTATAATTTATGAGGCATCCAGCCCAACCTACAATAATGATAGTTCTTATAGCAACTATTTGGTCAACTTTATTGGCGGCAACAGTCCATTTTTGTACGTTCCACCAAATGGTTGCTTTAAGTACTATCATTATATCAGGATCGGGGACAATCTGTCCTCTCGCCTAATACGTCGCATTTTTAACGGATAGGTACGTTCCGTTACAAATGCGTCACATTGGTGGATTTTGCAGCATATTAACCTGCTTTATTGGGTATATTTTACAGCTGAGGTCTTAGAGAGAAGATGATAGCCGATAATTATTCCGGCATGAGGCTACTGAGGACGCCGCTGAGGACAGGGATGAGGTGGGGCCACTGGGTGTTGGTGGCTGTGTGTTGCTGGGTGTTGCTGCCTCCTCTACACGCCAGTAACTCCCTCTTCTACCAGGTACGTTGTCCGGGGCGTCACCCGTGTGGCCGGGTGAGGTATTAGAAACTTATCGTGGATCATAACTAATTTCTGTAGTTGATGGTCTGTTCATCTTTTGGTCGCTTGTGCATCTTCACGTGATGACTCTATGGCTGCCATTCGATCTCCATGGTAATGGCTCTATGGCTGCCATTCGATCTCCATGGTAATGGCTCTATGGCTGCCATTCGATCTCCATGGTAATGGCTCTATGGCTGCCATTCGATCTCCATGGTAATGGCTCTATGGCTGCCATTCGATCTCCATGGTAATGGCTCTATGGCTGCCATTCGATCTCTATGGTAATGGCTCTATGGCTGCCATTCGATCTCCACAATAATGGTTCTACTGCTGCCATTCGATCTCCACGTTAATGGCTCTATGGTTCCCATTCGATCTCCGCGTTAATGGCTCAATGGCTGCCATTCGATCTCCACGTTAATGGCTCTATGGTTCCCATTCGATCTCCACGTTAATGGCTCAATGGCTGCCATTCGATCTCCACGTTAATGGCTCAATGGCTGTCATTCGATCACCACGTTAATGGATCTATTGCTGCCATTCAATCTAAACCAAAATCTTTGATACTTTCTTGTTTTTTAATTCAGTTTGAAAGTACGTCCTCCTGATGATTCAGCCACTTGCACTGGCTGCAGATATACGCCTTCTTGCTGGTCGGCGTTCGATCCCCAATGACCCAGGTAGTTGAGTGACACACTTTTTACTCCGTCCTCCTATCCCAACTCCTATCCTCACCTCGTATTCATTCCACGTGCTATATAATCATACTGGCTTCGCGCTTTCCCCTCATACTACAGCTATTACTTTGTCTCGTAACCCTTTTAAGTGCTAGTGAAACTGACCTGGTGCTTTCTCATCATATTTCCTTTTTTTATATAGCTTATAAATCACATATAAATAAAGACTTCTCAAATAAAAATATTTATAAATGTAAATGTCACTTCATTTTAAATATTCCTAAGTAAGCTTTCCTTGACGTCTGATGCCAGCTACCCAGCAAACACAGAACGTTTGTGGACGTTTTTTAATAGTGCCACAAAGGTAATTTTGTAACTTTTAACATAAATACGTATTTCTGACGTCCTTAAAACCATTAGATACAACTAAAAACATATATATATATATAAGTACCTTCCCCGGCAGTTCTATGTAGACACATCCGGCCCAGAGTTCACCAAGTGTACGCCAATAGAAGCCAACTTGACCGCAAGCAGTCCCAGTAAGGCTCTGATCTACTGCGTCGCCAGATGCTCTCAAGCAGGCGCCTGCAAATTTGCATTCCTTAATGGTAAATGTACGATGAGAACCACTATCATGTTCGGGAACTCAATACAAGTGTTGCATGTTGGACGCATGATACACTTTTACCATCAATTAGTGTCCAGTGCGACGTATCTTAACTTTCGTGGTCTTTGCACGTCGGCCACCATGTACACTTTGGCCATCTTTTAAGTGTCTGAGACGACCACTTTGCACATTTATGCACGTTTACAGTTCTTGTGTGTTAGGCACGATCTAACTTGAGGTACATTTATGGTTTAATGTAGCCATCAGACTCGTTTAAAATTGTATAATAAGCAATAAGCAATAAGTCCCCCTGATAACATTTGCGATTACAGAATGTTAGATCCATGCCACCTACACATGTTGTATTTACCATGTTAAATACCCTCCATTAGCGTACATATTTGTAATTAAAAACCCTTACCTGAATTAGTTTTTGACATTGCCATGTTTTAGATGGTACATTATTGTCTATAGCATTGCCATATATGACACATGTATATCATTGTTTATGACATTGAGATATTCGATGAATGGTACATCAGTTGCCCCTCACCTACACAGGAGAAACCTGCGTGATGCACAGTGTAGTGCTAGCCTCTGGGATGAACACGACCAACACTGGCGCAGTAGAGGCCTACAGGCCATCCTCTGAGAGTACACCTTACGTCGATATATCGTCCACTGCCACAGTCACCGCAACTACAGACTTCTCCGGCTTTCCGACATTTTCTGCTTCATTGGTAAGGATCATTGATAATTATTCCGAAGGGTAAATAGTGCACTTCAGTGCTCGCATAAAGATCTCGCAGGAAAACACTGTCAAAGCTGTAGCTGTTTAAGACTGAAGAGACTTTAATAATTATCGATCTATATCTCTTAAAAAAAGAGTTTTTTTGTTTAAAGTAATAATACTTTCATTATTAATAATAATAATAAGCAATAATAGAATCTATTATTGCTTATTATTAATAATAATAAACAATAATATTATTATTATAAGCAATAATAATAATATAACAATAATAATATTATAATAAGCAATAATAATAATAAGCTTATTAATAATAATAATAAGCTTATTAATAATAATAATAAGCTTATTAATAATAATAATAAGCTTATTAATAATAATAATAAGCAATAATAGAAAGTATTATTGCAATAATACATTCACCCGCACACGTTGAATATATTCAGCCGCATCTTGGATATACGTGATCTACATGAGATATATATACATCTTGGATATACATGAGAAGGTGGTGGAGGCCAAGACCGTCAGTAGTTTCAAAGCGTTATATGACAAAGAGTGCTGGGAAGACGGGACACCACGAGCTTAGCTCTCATCCTGTAACTACACTTAAGTAATTACGTATTCAGCCACACGCCTTACAGCTGGTTGCAAGGCGCCAGAGGCATGAATGAGCTCATGCATGATCGAGGACGAGGTTCTGCAGGGCCCTCAGTAAGGCTACCAGCCTGCTGCATTAGTAGTACCAGGGGCGGCCCTTCAGGTCCTCATGCATGAGCTCGTGCCTCTGGCGCCTTACAACCAGCTGCTCTCAGTAGATAGGGACTCGACAGCCTGAATGGGAAGGCAGCTCACCAGGGGAAGGAAAATCATGATCTCGAACATCCGCTGCCTCGCGGCCATACACACTTTTGGGACGGGCTTCATAAGTCAACCTCCAGGACAAATCCGGAGTCCCTAAGGCAGTTCGTTGTTGACTTCAACCTCGTTCTGGCAGCTCCTGCGACGGCGCTGGAACCAAACGTATTGGCGTTTGCCCTTCCATTGGACAGTTTCAACATCGTGGAGAGGGAGGGTGGGGGACCTGCTGCATGGGTAACAGCTTCTTCTCCATACTGACCTACACAGGCCTTGTATCCTGGAGAGGACACTCCGGCCTCGACAACCAGAGCGTAACTACAGTCTCCCGAGACTGTAGGGGTGCCTACTGCTAGCTTAATACTTTGTCTTGATCATTTTAATGTATTTTTTCTTATCGATTATTGCATGTTCAGTTGCAGGGAGACTCATGGTGCTGGATCGCGGTGAGTGACTGCCCCTGCACCATCGACAGCAAGAATCAGAACGTGAAAATCAACCTGAACTCTGCTCGCTACATTAGAAAAATGCGTGTCTACCCGACCGTCCCTGCCTACACTAGCCTTTCTACACATCTGCAGATCTATGTGAGTAATGTTCAAACACAGTGCAGCCACAACGTTCTTTGATGTTGTTAGAATGTAACTCAAATTAAATCAAATCAAATGTTTATTCAGGTAAGAGTCCATATATATATATAAGTAACGAACATAATGTTGGAGTAATAGATAGAACTAATATGTTTTGAAGGAAGTGTTAATTGACGAATTATGTACTCACCTAGTTGTGCTTGCTAGGGTTGAGCTTTGGCTCTTTGGTCCCGCCTCTCAACTGTCAATCAACTGGTGTACAGATTCCTGAGCCTACTGGGCACTATCATATATACATTTGAAACTATGTATGGAGTCCGCCTCCATACCTTGAGGTTACCGTGAGGTGCTTCCGGGGCTTAGCGTCCCCGCGGCCCGGTCGTCGACCAGGCCTCCTGGTTGCTGGACTGATCAACTAGGCTGTTGGACGCGGCTGCTCGCAGCCTGACGTATGAGTCACAGCCTGGTTGATCAGGTATCCTTTGGAGGTGCTTATCCAGTTCTCTCTTGAACACTGTGAGGGGGTCGGCCAGTTATGCCCCTTATGTGTAGTGGAAGCGTGTTGAATAGTCTCGGGCCTCTGATGTTGATAGAGTTCTCTCTCAGAGTACCTGTTGCACGTCTGCTTTTCAACGGGGGTATTCTGCACATCCTGCCATATCTTCTGGTCTCATGTGATGTTATTTCTGTGTGCAGGTTTGGGACCAGCCCCTCTAATACACACTTCATGTGCATTAGCCATTTTGCAAGAACCTACCACTTAATCAGCAAATTAAAAAATAAGTTAAAAAACAAGAAAACACTGTACATTCATATAAGTACAAAAACCCGCTGTACAGCAATGAAAGTAGATAAGTAATAGCTTGTTACTCCAGGTTGGCAACACTGGCAGCATCACCACCGACCCGCTTCTCGTAGATGATCAGAACTCTTATGGCAGGCAGGAGTACTATCGCTCTTACAAAGGTACGTATTTATTACAAATGATTGCAGAAACATTAATTATGCAATAACAGAAATGCATTTGAAAGGATCGTTTGGTGAATGAACCAAACCGGGACCGGGGAAATGGCCCAGTCCTCGACCAGGACTTGAACAGGAAGCTGGCTAACACCCAGGTACCTATTTTACTGCTAGGTAACAGGGGCATAGGGTGAAAGAAACTCTGCCCATTGTTTCTCGCCGGCGCCTGGGATCGAACCTAGGACCACAGGATCACAAGTCCATCGTGCTGTCCGCTCGGCCGACCTGCTCCCTATGATAGTGACAAATGGTGCCTACAAACCTCCAGAGTCTTGAGATCATACAAAACAATGATATGCTGCTTTTAGATTCAAGAAATATACCATCTACTCTGTTATTAATTTGGATATTGTTAATTCTTGCGTTAATATGTTAATGTGAACCCTAACGTCTATGTTAATATTTCCCTAACATCGATCTTAATATTTCCCTAACACCAGTCTTAATATTTCCCTAACACCAGTCTTAATATTTCCCTAACATCGATCTTAATGTTTCAGTGAATCTGACGGCCCAGTACATAACATTCTACAAGAACACGGGAGCCAACATATGCCTCTGTAAAGTGTTCATCTATGATTAGTAGTGACTGGAGGCATCAACGAGGCTTGGCGTCTGGGGGCGGCTAGGGAAGGAGAGAGACATCAATTATTAAATACAGTGAGACCTGTATTTTGTTATCCTTGTCTTGTGTGGCTATCCTGGTATTGCGTGTTATTCTCGTATTGTGGGTTATCCTGTTTTTGTTGCTAGTTTACTGTGCACCCCATGTATTGTGTATTGTGTATTATCCTGGTATTGTGGGTTATTGTGGTATTGTGGGTTATCCTGGTATTGTGCCTTATCAATGGGTTGTTTGGTTATCCTGGTATTATGTCTTGTCAATGTATTGTTTGATTATCCTGGTATTATGCCTTACCAATGTATAGTTTGGTTATCCTAGAATTGTGTCTTATCAGTGTATTGGTTAGTTATCCTGGTATTATGCCTTATAAATGTATTGTTTGGTTATCCTGGTATTGTTTTATATAATTTTGCAAGTACAGTACTGCTTCTTTCTGGCCAGGGGGAAAAAAGACACCGACGGTATGGGAGCTTATTTATTACGTAGTAGAAGTACCAATGAATATGGTACTATGCAATATTCGATGGCTTATTTACAATCAGTCAAAAGGGTACAAAAAAATTTATAACAGTTAGGTTAGTTTATTTATTATGCACACCCCATACCCATCTGGTGGGCTCAAGACGAAGAATTTTTAGATTACCATCAAGGTGACTATGAAGGAATGAGAGAGGAACCGCAAAACATCTGGAAGGAGTTAAATAGGTGAACAAGGCATGGAAGCATCATGGCAAAACTTTAAGGTCATGACGGAACTCGTTCAAATATGTGCCAAAAGGAGGATGAAACAAAAGGGAACTAGATGGATGACTGACAGTAAAAGAAGCATTGATTTATTTATTTATTTATTTATTTATTTATTTATATATATACAAGAAGGTACATTGGGTTTGTGAGAATACATTGGATAGTACAGTATTTACATTCTTGTAAAGCCACTAGTACGCGCAGCGTTTCGGGCAGGTCCTTAATCTAGCAGATAATTTTAAGTAGGTAATTTCAATCAGAATTGATAAATGATAAAGATACATTACAAGAGAAAAATGAGATGAGAGAGATAAGTAAGTATATTAAAGCACATTGTTATATTTAATCTCTGATTGATTACATTGACATCTTGATTAGTAATTTAAACAAGATTAATAGACACCATACAGCAGATTGACAGCACATAACATAACATTGATAACTAAGAGGAACCTCTCGAGAGCGTATAAATCCACGATGGACATCATTTATTATGAGATATATAAAAGGCACTAAACTCGGCCACCTAGGAAATCAGATCAGCCAAAAGGAACTACGGAAGAAAACTTGCCCAAAACATAAAGACAGATCAAAAGTCGTTCTATGTCTATATAAGAAGTAAAACCAAAACTAAGGACTCGGTTGGATCTTTAAAAGATGAGATTAAACAAACTATAATGACAAAAGGGCAGCTAACACTAAAGGAATATTTTATATCAGTGTTCACACTAGAAAGGTTAGATGACATCCTATCACCCACACAAATATTTCAAGTAGGTGAAGATAATAAATTTAGGAATATAACCATAACATGTGACATAATCAGGAAGAACATTGACAAACTTAGACTCGAAAGCCCCGGGTGTGGATGGAATACAATCCAAAGTCATAAAGGAACTGACAGAAGAACTATGAAGAAGAACCACTGAAATTACTTTTAACAAGCTCTCCGGACCAAGGGATAGTCCCCTTTGATTGGAAATATTCGAATGTCACCTCTATTTAAAAAAAAAAGATAGAAAGAGCTTGGCGGAGAACTATAGCGTCCAATTAGCTTGACATTACACATCTGCAAGCTCACGGAGAGAATTCTAAGGGAGGGAATTATTCACAATCTTGCAGTGGACAGTATTATAAAATCGACACTTGGGTTTGTTAAACATAGATCCTGGCTTACAAACCTGCTCACATTTTTTGAAACTGTAAAAGACTTCCTGTTGATGTAGAATACATGGATTTGGCTAAAGCCTTTGACAAGGTACCACTTCATTGATGTGAGAAAGGCCTTTGATATTGTCAATCACAACTACCTCTTACTTAAACTCCATCATTATGGAATCCGAGGCCTTGCCCTGGACTATATCCGATCCTATCTTAGTGATAGACACCAATGTGTAGCCATCAATGATATAATCTACCAATAATCGTTGGAGTGCCACAGGGCAGCATCTTGGGACCTCTTCTATTTCTCATATACATCAATGATCTGCCTAATGTCTCTAACATTCTTAAACCTATATTGTTTGCTGATGATACCACCCTCATCTACTCAGACCCCAATCCACACACAACCTAAATAATGTTGTGAATAATGAATTAAAAAAAGTCCACTTGTGGATGTCAACCAACAAACTAACACTAAACATAGAAAAGACCTACTACATCTTATTTGGAAGCAAATTAACAAATGAAATTCAGCTTCAGATGGACAATATTAACATCAGTAATAAAAATAATGGAAAGTTTCTTGGCCTATTCCTAGACAAGAGATTCAACTTCAGCACCCACATACAACACATAACTAAGAAAGTCTCTAAAACAGTTGGTATACTCTCCAAAATCAGAAATTATGTTCCTAACTCTGCTCTCCTTTCACTATATTATGCACTAATCTATCCCTATCTTAATTATGGTATCTGTGCATGGGGTTCAACCACTGCATATACTTGTATAAAGTATACAAGTTTAGATAATTCACCCCAAAATTATAATATATGCACTTAACAGTAATAACGAAGGATGCATATCGCCTATGGACAAGTAATCCTAAATATTTATATAATCCTTAATATTTATAATCCTAAATTATAAATATTAATTACCTATAATTCCCTACTTGCATAAATGTCTAACATTACATTACATGTGTAAATGAAGAGACAAGCTTTACATGCATACAGAACATTGAAAGAGTATACACGATGAATGTTTATACATGCGTACAAAGATCCAGATTAAAAGAAATCGTTGCAAGCATATATGAATTGATTCTAATAAAGTTGTGCTGGATGATTTTTTGTTATTTAACAACCTTAGGTATACACAGCAATGTGCTGCTACCCTATTCTATATGAAAGATTACACAGTGTAGATCAAAAACTAGCTATAAGTTCATCTAATATTCCCATCTCACAGAATGGTTAGTCATGCATGGAATCAGGGGAGAAAATACCAACCTCAATAATGTTTTAATAAAGGTGAAAACATTAAGTTTTAGGCTGATCTACTAGCCCCCCACCTTAGTAGGTACAGCACAAAAATATCTTGCAATATTCCTAGTATATGAAGTGATTACAGAGCTCAAAGTGAATGCATGAGTGGGGGTGGGAAGTACGGTAAAGCGTGTACAGTAGTACATTGGGCAGCTATACTCAGACTCATCATGATGTATGAACATGACACTAAAATTCGACACTTGGACAGCAATGTATCCGCTTTAAGCCGAATTTATTCTTCATAAAAATGACTATTTAACTACTTTTATTATTTGAATGATCAAATATTGTCATTATCTTATGCTTCTAAAGCAAGGGAATGCATTTGGGCAAAGTTCAAATCAGTTTTTCCGGATATTGAAGAGCGGTTATATCAATACCTGGCAACCAGGGAGGGATAGCGATATGTAGCAATGTACCGTACATTAGGCTGGCAACCTTCAGTGTTAACGTAACTCTCAATAGCGGAACATCTGTGTATTCCCTCTGTATCATACATCTGTTACTCGTCATCAGGTAACTTTATAACGTAGCGCTGAGGTATGATCGTAGAATGTTGCTGATATATTAATATAGCAAGGATGGCTGCTTGCCAACATACACACAGATGCCTTTACGAACAGTGATGCCAAGTCTTAGATTTAGATTTAAATTTTTTAGTCAGATAAGGTACATACATTGAAGAAGAGTTACAAACATAATGTTGGAATTTAAAGATAGAGTTAGCACATACAATGCCTAAAGCCACTAGTATGCAAAGCGTTTCGGGCTAGGTGTTGGGGGGGGGGGGACCACTTAGACTCAAACGTAATAGTAATTGAGCTTAAAGTATAAATTGTGTTGAAAAAAAATAAAAAGGGGGGAACATGGCAGAAAATAGCAATTTTATAACTTGGTCAACAAACAGAATTGTTTAAAATGATAAGACATGGGTTGACATTTAGGAGTAAGGTAGGTTACATGGAGTTTATTAGGTAGTATTTAGTTTTTATCTTAAACTGGTTGAGAGAAGTACAGCCTTTGACGTGATTGGGAACGACATTCCACATTCTGGGTCCTTTGATGTGTAGAGCATTTCTAGTTTGATTAAGTATTCTTGGAATATCAAATAGGTATTTGTTTCTGGTGTGGTGCCCATGGGTTCTGTCACAACCTTCTAAGAAGCTTTCAAGGTCATGATTGACATTACAGTTCAGAGTTTTAAATATATAGAGTTCACATGAGAGGATGTGCAGTGACTTAATATCTAACATTCAGAGATTTGAGAAAGGGTACCGAGTGATGTCTGGGGCCAGGTGTTAGATATTGTTCTAATAGCAGCTTTGTGTTGAGTAATTAGAGGACGTAAATTATTTTTGGTTGTAGAACCCCAAGCACAAATACCATAGTTGAGATAACGATAGAGTAGAGAGTAATAGAGTGTCACCAGGGCAGGACGAGGTACAAAATATCTAATCTTAGAAAGAATGCCAACAGTTTTAGAAACTCTTTTGGGTATATTTAGAATGTGTCCTTGGAAATTCAGCTTGTTATCTATGAGGATACCAAGGAATTTACCATCAACTTTGTTACTAATCTGGATAGTGTAGTGTATACTTATAATTAAAATATACTTGGTGTATACTTCAGTTAAAACCTGCATTTCTTATACTACATAATAACTTATTTTAATGCAAAGAGAGAAACTTAAAGAAATCCGTTGATATATGAATTATTTCTATGTTGAGAGTGCCAGAAAAACTTAGCAACGATATTACAAAATTAGCAAACCCAGGCAGTGTGTTGCTGACAGCTGGTAACACTTGGGTAATTTAATTAATATTCAGGCCATACTCATCCCTGTGTGTGGACACCACGCCCATCCCGTGTGTGTGGACACCACGCCCGTCCCGTGTGTGTGGACACCACGCCCATCCCGTGTGTGTGGACACCACGCCCATCCCTTGTGTGGACACCACGCCCATCCCTTGTGTGGACACCACGCCCGTCCCGTGTGTGTGGACACCACGCCCATCCCTTGTGTGGACACCACGCCCGTCCCGTGTGTGTGGACACCACGCCCGTCCCGTGTGTGTGGACACCACGCCCATCCCGTGTGTGTGGACACCACGCCCATCCCGTGTGTGTGGACACCACGCCCATCCCGTGTGTGTGGACACCACGCCCATCCCGTGTGTGTGGACACCACGCCCATCCCGTGTGTGTGGACACCACGCCCATCCCGTGTGTGGACACCACGCCCATCCCGTGTGTGTGGACACCACGCCCATCCCGTGTGTGGACACCACGCCCATTCTCGTGTGTGTGTGTGTGTGGGCACCACGCCAATTACCGTATGTGTGTGGACACCACGCCCATCCCGTGTGTGGACACCATGCCCATTCTCGTGTGTGTGTGTGTGTGGGCACCACGCCCATTACCGTATGTGTGTGGACACCACACCCATTCCCGTGTGTGTGTGTGTGTGGACACCACGCCCATTCCCGTGTGTGTGTGTGTGTGTGTGTGTGGACACCACGCCCGTTCCCGTGTGTGTGTGTGGACACCACGCCCATTCCCGTGTGTGTGTGTGTGTGGACACCACGCCCATTCCCGTGTGTGTGGACACCACGCCCATTCCCGTGTGTGTGTGTGTGTGGACACCACGCCCATTCCCGTGTGTGTGGACACCACGCCCATTCCCGTGTGTGTGGACACCACGCCCATTCCCGTGTGTGTGGACACCACGCCCATTCCCGTGTGTGTGTGGACACCACGCCCATTCCCGTGTGTGTGTGGACACCACGCCCATTCCCGTGTGTGTGTGGACACCACGCCCATTCCCGTGTGTGTGTGTGTGTGTGGACACCACGCCTATTCCCGTGTGTGTGTGTGTGTGTGTGTGTGTGTGGACACCACGCCTATTCCCGTGTGTGTGTGTGTGTGTGTGTGTGTGTGTGTGTGTGTGTGTGTGTGTGTGTGTGTGTGTGTGTGTGTGTGTGTGTGTGTGTGTGTGGACACCACGCCCATTTCCGTGTGTGTGTGTGGACACCACGCCCATTCCCGTGTGTGTGTGTGTGTGGACACCACGCCCATTCCCGTGTGTGTGTGTGGCACCACGCCCATTCCCGTGTGTGTGTGTGTGTGGACACCACGCCCATTCCCGTGTGTGTGTGTGTGTGTGGACACCACGCCCATTTCCGTGTGTGTGTGTGGACACCACGCCCATTCCCGTGTGTGTGTGTGGCACCACGCCCATTCCCGTGTGTGTGTGGACACCACGCCCATTCCCGTGTGTGTGGACACCACGCCCATTCCCGTGTGTGTGTGTGGACACCACGCCCATTCCCGTGAGTGTGTGTGGACACCACGCCCATTCCCGTGTGTGTGTGTGTGTGTGTGTGTGTGTGTGTGTGTGTGTGTGTGTGTGTGTGTGGACACCACGCCCTTTTCCGTGTGTGTGTGTGTGTGTGTGGACACCACGCCCTTTTCCGTGTGTGTGTGTGGACACCACGCCCATTTCCATGTGTGTGTGTGGCACCACGCCCATTCCCGTGTGTGTGTGTGTGTGGACACCACGCCCATTCCCATGAGTGTGTGTGGACACCACGCCCATTCCCATGAGTGTGTGTGGACACCACGCCCATTCCCATGAGTGTGTGTGGACACCACGCCCATTCCCGTGTGTGTGTGTGGACACCACGCCCATTCCCATGTGTGTGTGTGTGTGTGTGTGTGTGTGTGTGTGTGTGTGTGTGTGTGTGTGTGTGGACACCACGCCCATTCCCGTGTGTGTGTGTGTGTGTGTGGACACCACGCCCATTCCCGTGTGTGTGTGTGTGTGTGGACACCACGCCTATTCCCGTGTGTGTGTGTGTGTGTGGACACCACGCCCATTCCCGTGTGTGCGTGTGGACACCACACCCATTCCCGTGTGTGTGTGTGTGTGGACACCACGCCCATTCCCGTGTGTGTGTGTACTCACCTAGTTGTACTCACCTAGTTGTGCTTGCAGGGGTTGAGCTCTGGCTCTTTGGTCCTGCCTCTCAACCGTCAATCAACAGGTGTACAGATTCCTGAGCCTATTGGGCTCTATCATATCTGCACTTGAAACTGTGTATGGAGTCAGCCTCCACCACATCACTTCCTAATGCATTCCATTTGTCAACCACTCTGACACTAAAAGAGTTCTTTCTAATATCTCTGTGGCTCATTTCGGCACTCAGTTTCCACCTGTGTCCCCTTGTGCGTGTGCCCCTTGTGTTAAATAGACTGTCTTTATCTACCCTATCAATTCCCTTGAGAATCTTGAATGTGGTGATCATATCCCCCCTAACTCTTCTGTCTTCCAGCGAAGTGAGGTTTAATTCCCGTAGTCTCTCCTCGTAGCTCATACCTCTCAGCTCGGGTACTGGTCTCGTGGCAAACCTTTGAACCTTTTCCAGTTTGGTCTTATCCTTGACTAGATATGAACTCCATGCTGGGGCTGCATACTCCAGGATTGGCCTGACATATGTGGTATACAAAGTTCTGAATGATTCTTTACACAAATTTCTGAATGCCGTTCGTATGTTGGCCAGCCTGGCATATGCCGCTGATGTTATCCTCTTGATATGTGCTGCAGGAGACAGGTGTGTGTGTGTGTGGACACCATGCCCATCCTGTATTGAGGATGGGAGTTTTTATTGAGGTGGGAAGTTTTCAAGTTATTCTATTGAATATTGTATTATTTTCAATTGTGAATGTATTATGAACGCAGTTCAATGTAATTGTATTTTTTTGTTTTGTTACGGTTTTAAAAAACTGTTATATTAACACAAAATCAATCACAAAATATATACATATGTTTGCAAGCAGTAAGTCTGATGTAAAAAGAAAATGTTTGTCATTTATTATTTATAGTAATTAGTAAATAGAAATAGGTAATATTTCTCTTGAAATATTTTATTCAAAAGTATGAGTTAATTATTATAGTAACCCCAATACTTGCATTCCTATTTTGTAATTTACCTGTTGAACCTAATGTGTCAGTCAGGTATAGGGTTCCCTGTCAAACCTAATGTATCAACCAAGCCGAGGCTTGCTGTCAAACCTAATGTGTCTGCGAGGTAGGGGCTCCCTATTGAACCTGTGTCAGCCAAGTAGAGGGTCCTCAAAATTTTACAAAATATTTCAAGAGTTCCTCCAAACAAAAAAAGGTCGTGAATCAATGGACTATAAATCGTCAGGTGTTTGCAGGTGTGATGTGGGCCCGGGCAGCAGGGAGCCGAGGTCTATCCTTGGTCAGACACTTCACCTCCTCCTTCCCGAAGCCTTACACAGTTCCTGAAGGCTCATGGGGTGCCAACAGGTGAGAACGCCACAGGTAAAATTTTGTTAAACTACACTCGATGTGTACTCTCTGTTTACAATATTACAGGAATCTCTTCCTTTCTGATTTTTATTCAAATATTTTAGTTACATTGTGTTGTGGATTTACATTTTTAAAGGGATTTTTAAATAATTAGTTTAAATTTAGGCAGTTTTACTTTATCCATCCTTGGCAGAGGTAAGAGGTTTATATATATATATATATATATATATATATATATATATATATATATATATATATATATATATATATATATATATATACCTGTATATATATATATATATATATATATATATATATATATATATATATATATATATATATATATATATATATATATATATATATATATATATATATATATATATATATATATATATATGTCGTACCTAGTAGCCAGAACGCACTTTTTGGCCTACTATGCAAGGGCCGATTTGCCTAATAAGCCAAGTTTTCCTGAATTAATATATTTTCTCTAATTGTTTTCTTATGAAATGATAAAGCTACTCATTTCATTATGTATGAGGTCAATTTTTTTTTATTGGAGTTAAAATTAAGGCAGATATATGACCGAACCTAACCAACCTTACCTAACCTAACCTAACCTATCTTTATAGGTTAGGTTAGGTTAGGTTAGGTAGCCGAAAAAGTTAGGTTAGGTTAGGTTAGGTAGGTTAGGTAGTCGAAAAACAATTAATTCATGAAAACTTGGCTTATTAGGCAAATTGGGCCTTGCATAGTAGGCTGAGAAGTGCGTTCTGGCTACTAGGTACGACATATATATATATATATATATATATATATATATATATATATATATATATATATATATACATATATACATACACATACATACATACAGTATAATGTAATATAAATAAAAATCATTCACTGCTGGGTGAACAGAGACTACAGTTAAGGATTGGCACCCAGTCAATCCTCCCAGGCCAGGATAGGAACCCAGGCCAAAGCACTCTCAAAGCACCGGGCAAGTGCTTTAGCACTACCACATGGGGACTGCCACCTCCCCATGACATTATCCCCTACTTCCCCATTAAATTACCAAATTAATGACATTACCTTGCAGTTGATTGATGGTGTCCAGTTCCAGTCCTAACCCTCCTGTTCTGAATGACACAGTGAACACTGAACTAAAAATAGTCCATCTTGGGTTAACTGCTAACAAACTCACTCTTAACATTGACAAAACCATCTATATTTTGGTTGATAATAAATACACAGATCAAATTAACCTAAGAATAAACAATACCCAAATTAGTAAGAGAGTAGATGGAGTATTCCTTGGTGCTCCCATTGATAAAAAGTTGAATTTCCAGTATCATTTACAAACTATAAAAAAAAAATCTAAAACAGTTTGGATTCTTTCTCTAAAATCATATACTACATACCTCGCTTTGCCCTGGTAACACTATTTTACTCCCTCATCTATCCTTATCTCACCTATGACATCTGTGCCTGGGGTTCTACTACCCAAAATTATCTACGACCTCTAATTACTCAACACAAGTTAGTAATTAGAATAACAAATTCAAGCCCCAGACAGCACTCAGGCCCTGTAGTACACTCTCCTCCTTAGAGCTGTATGTACCCCTCAGGGTTGCATGTAGTGCCCTCCCCCAGGATTGTATATATCTCACCTCCAGGGCTACATGTTGTACTGTCTCACCGCCCAGGGCTGCATGTAATACATTTTTATATCCCTCAGGACTGCACGTAGCACCCTGTCATCTGTCCCAGGGTTGTATATGTATCTCACATTCTTCAGGGCGGCACGTCTAGAGTTGGCAGCAGCATACAGAGGATTGGATTTGCTTGGTCTTAATGAAGGTGTATCAAATCATCTGAGCGTGATGGCTCCGCGGGCAAATGGTGAAGGAGATGTGATGCTGGTCTTCCCAGAAGGTCTTCACTGGAAGGAGGTAAGGGAGTGTTGTCTTTAGAATCTTTTCACATGCAGGCATCTTAGGGAAGTTGAGTTTTAAGCTAAAGCAGCTACACAGCTGAATGAAACAGTGTATTTACACATTAAAATCACAATAACAACATATATCTGTGAGAGTCTTTGAAGCAGGATGGTGGGATTAAACAAATGTCCTAGGCCACTGCAGATGCTGGTAAGATCACATCATCCTGTGTTGGAATCGAACCAGCATCTTGGGGTCACTGCAGACACTGGTAAGATCCTACTGTCCTACGGTGGGATCAAACCAGCATCCTGGGTTACTGCAGATTTTGGTAAGATCCCACCATCCAGTTCCAAAGATATTCTCAAAATATAATTATATATATGCAAACTGATATTGAAACATAACTAGCAGTCAGTTTTGTTATTTTTGTTTAAAGATTAGTCCTTAATTTATTTTAACCTGGCACTTAGAAGCAGTTACCAATCAATGACTATAGGGAAGTGAGGTATACTGTAGCTCTTTGTGTCCCTGCCTACTAGACTTATTGTGTTCTTTAGCTTTAACCACTGTATTGCGCCTTAGTTTAAATCGACACTCACCTGTGCTCATAAAAAAATGTATTCCCTCAATTTTCTTTAATTCTAATACTGCATTGTTAAAATGTGATGGAGGTGAGGAAGTCTGACAATATTCAGGCTTTGATAGAGTACTCGTCAGCGGCGGTGTGCTTCAACCCAGCAGTGTGGCGAGGGTTGCTGCAATTACATTTTTACATAATTATTTCAATGTCTTTGAATGTTTTTTTATCTATTTTTTACAGTAATATTATTTAATAGTGTGTAATTTGATGAATTTCTATAGTTAAATGTGTGGACATTGCTATGCTCAAAAATATGGTGCTCATATCTAGTGACATGTATATTATATTCTTAGATCAATAAAAGTGTTTTGCTGTTATTACACTATATGCACACATTATATAAATCTGTAACTTATACAAGTTTGGGTGACATTATTCAAAGAGTTTAGTGGTTTTGTTGTCTATTTAGTTACAAAACAAAAGTTACAAAAGTCAGTTATTGGAAATGTTATCAGATATTAAAATCTAAAATAAGATCACTAAAATCAGATATTATGTTCCCCACTCTGCTCTCCTCTCATTATACTATTATAATATACTCTTTTATTTAGCTTTTACTTATTACCAGATAAAATATAATTGCTCAACTTTTGAGATCTTAAAGCTATCATAAATATTTTTTTATTTTTAACTACCGGTAATCAAGAATTGTTGTAATGTTCTTAATTTTTTAATTCTCTTTCTTCCGTAAAACGAGATTTTATACTCCTGTGCATTTGATATCATGAATTAAGCTATCATAAACATATCATTTAATCTCATCAAGCAAATGTTTTGATATTATAATTGGTGAATAATATTTCTTTTTATGTTGCAGGTAACAGCCAGTAATCTGGTGGGGCTCGATAGTGATGCTCAGACAATAGAGGGAGAAGGATCTCCTGAAACCACTGCATCTTGCATCCATCTCTCCATCCACAAGATGCGATCAGACATCCGGGTTATCATGCACACTCATCAGCCTTACGTTTCTGCCCTTGGTCTGTTCATCATCTTCTTACACACACACACACACACACACACACACACACACACACACACACACACACACACACACACACACACACACACACACACACACACACACGAGATAGGGGTCTCGTAGCCTGGTGGATAGCGCGCAGGACTCGTAATTCTGTGGCGCGGGTTCGATTCCCGCACGAGGCAGAAACAAATGGGCAAAGTTTCTTTCACCCTAAGTGCCCCTGTTACCTAGCAGTAAATAGGTACCTGGGAGTTAGTCAGCTGTTACGGGCTGCTTCCTGGGGTGTGTGTGTGTGTGTGTGTGTGTGTGTGTGTGTGTGTGTGTGTGTGTGTGGAAAAAAAAAAAAAAATAGTTGATTGACAGTTGAGAGGCGGGCCGAAAGAGCAAAGCTCAACCCCCGTAAAAACACAACTAGTAAACACACACACACACACACATACACATACATACACACAGGAAAGCATGAAATACCTCTAAGGCCCAGCGACCATTGTGTCCTAGTCTTGGACTACATGATGGAATTCAAACTTGTGACCATGGGACAAGAGGTCTGGGAAAGGAGAGTTGACTACAGGAAAGGGGATTACAGGAGGATAAGGGACTATCTGGGAGAAGTGCAGTGGGAGGAAGAAATTTGAGGAAAAAACAGTCCAAGATATGATGGACCTGGTCATACGGAAATGCCAGGAGGCCAAAAAGAGATTTATTCCAACAGTAAAGGGAAAAAATAAGAGGGAATATAATAACCCATGGCTTAATAGACAGTGCCAGGAAGCAAAAATGGCCAGCAGGCGGGAGTGGAGGAAGTACAGAAGACAAAGGACAGAGGACAACAGGAACAGATGCAACAGAGCTAGGAATGATTACATTAACATAATACGAACATCGGAAAGGAACTATGAGAACAATATTGCGATCGAAGCAAAAAAGCAATGTTTGCATATCATATCTCATATCTCAGCTTTTATCCTATCCTCATATCTCTTCCAAGTATTAAATAGACATATAGGCTTATCGCTTCCGCATGGTGAATACCATATTTTTTGGCATACAAGACGCACTTAATGAAGATATTTTGTTCTATTTTGTATATTTCATCATAAATTTATTGAAAGTAATTTTCAAGTAGGATTCTAGGTGGAAAACACACATGCTTCTGTGTGTGTATAATCAGATAATATTATGTATACTTTATATATTCTATATACATATATACAGTATATATGCTACATATATGAATATATACAGCTGTACACTAGACATATTCACTTGGTTGGACCAAAAACACATGTCCTATTCCCTGATAAATGCAATATATTATGTCCCATTTTCCATAACACTGACCTCTGTGCCCAACCCACACACCTGAAAATAAAGGATGTAATGAAGTGTTGATTTGTCCTGAACGATTCAGGACAAACCAAAACATTGTCACTTTCATTAATTTCAGACGTGTGGGTTTAGTGTCTAATTTTCAACCACATTATTGTGACTTGTTAGCTACACTAACTTGTATGTTGTGAACCTTTCAGCTAGCCTTGAAGACAGTGAGATGAAGATGGTTCATCAGAACTCCCTTAGGTTCTGGAAGGACATAGCCTATGACCCTCACTACAGTGGCGTTGCCTATGCCTTTGAGGAGGGAGAGAGGATGGGAAAGATACTAGGTAAGGAAAGCAAGGGACACAAGAAGGATAGGGAAAATAAACAAGCTTAAGAGAAAGCGGGAATTAAAGGCTAGCAAAGACTAAGTGAGAGCAGGAAATAATAGGAAAGCTTAAGAGAGCCAGATTGGCTAGGAAATGGTATAAAAGCTTAAGAGAGGGCATAAAAGGGTTAGATGTGGTAGGAAAGCATTGGAAAGGGCAAGAGCAAATGAATTTTAAGTATAGTAAAGAGTTAAAAAGGATAGGAAGGTGTAAGAAAGTTGAAAACAATAATTTCAATTACAGTAAGTAAAATGTAGACAAAGCACTGTCAGAAAAGTTCTTTAGAATCAAGAGCTAAATGATAAAAAATGGAAACTAATTTAGAAAAAGACTGATAGAAGGAATGAAACACTAATGACAAAGTTTTTGAAAGGAACATAGAATAAAATCAAAATAATAATCTAATTTAAATTAGAGAAACATTAACAACTAAGTATTACTATGAATACTTGACTATGTATTTTGGTCTATAGCTCTTTCTATAGAAACTAGTAATTCATGTAACCATTTCAAGTCAATATTGTGTTTGTATGCTGTGGCACAATGGTCTACATCCTCGGCTCACAACCGAAAGACCCCAGGTTCAGTCAAGACAGCAAGGGCCTCCTGACTGTACCCCTCCAGGGTACTGTCAGGGCTATCTACCTGTAGTAATTTATTTATTTATATATTTACAAGAAGGTACAATGGGTTTGTGGGAGTACATAATATTGGTATTTTTACATTTTTGCAAAGCCATTCCCATGTTGGGAATATCAAAGAAATACAGTATTAATTTCTGGTGTGGTACTCATGGGTTCTATTACACTTATCAAGGAAAAGTTTTAGATCAAGATTTAGGAACAAAGTTTTGTACATGTAAATAGCACAAGAGAATGTGTGGAGTGAATGTATGTTTAGCATGATTAAGAACTTAAACAAAGGGGCTGTGTGTTGTCTGAAAACAGAGTTTGTTATAGTTCTGATAGCAGATTTTTGCTGAGTGATGATGGGCTTGAAGTAATTTGCAGTGGATGAACCCCATACACAGATACCATATGTAAGATAGGGATAGAATAGTGAGTAGTATAATGAGAGGAGAGTAGAGTGGGGAACATAACATCTGGTTTTAGAAAGTGTACCGACCGTTTTTGAAACTTTTTACTGTGTTGTATGTGGGTGTTGACAATGTTAACATTGTCTATTTGAAGTTGAATTTGATTTGATGATTTACTTCCGAATAAAATGTTGTAAGTCTTTTCTATGTTCAGTGTGAGTTTGTTGGTTGACATCCATGATTGGATATTTTTTAAATCATCGTCTACAGTATTATTTAGTGTGCACTTGCTGGGGTCTGAATAGATGAAGGTAGTATTGTCAGCAAATAATATAGGTTTAAGAATGTTTGAAACATTTTGTAAATCATTGAATATAAGAAATAGCAGAGGTCCTAAGATGCTGCTCTGTGGCATTCCTACTGTTAATAGTAGAGTGGGGGAAGCTATGTCATTGATGGCTACATATCACTAAGATAGGATTGAATATAGTTCAGGGTCAGGCCTCAGATTCCATAGTGGTGAAGGTAAAGTAAGAGGTAGTTATGGTTTATAGTATCAAAGGCATTTCTCAGGTCAATGAAGAAGCCGAAGTATTTAATGAATTTAATTAATAATAATGAATTTAATTCCACTTTGCCCTTCCTCCAGGGTACCGTCAAGGCTATCTAGTAACCCCACTAGGGCACACCCTCCTGTGTACGGTCAAGACTATCTAGTAATCCCACTAGGCTCCTCATCAAGGGTACTGTCAAGACTATCTAGTAATCCCACTAGGCTCCTCATCAAGGGTACTGTCAAGACTATCTAGTAATCCCACTAGGCTCCTCATCAAGGATACTGTCAAGGCTATCTAGTAATCCCACTAGGGTTCTCATCAAGGGTACTGTCAAGGTTATTTAGTAATCCTATTAGGCCCCCCCTCCTTCAATGTGCTATCAGGGCTATCTAGTAATCCCACTATGTAGGCCCCTAGATGGGCCCTGCATAGCATAGTCCATTTAACATAGTCCAGGGGCCTACATTGGCCATAGTCAGGCCAATGTAGCAAGCCTTCTTCCCCAAACATTTGATATTCTACTTTATTATCAATCAGATTCTATTTCATAAAAATTATGAATTTCAAAATTATAATATTAAAAAAAAATGAGAGCTTCCAAGACAGGTTAATATCTATCAAATTAGATTTGCATATTGCCATTTCAATGGATTTAATTTTGCAACTTACATACATCACCTTCAACAAAGCTGTTACATGTATTCATTATGCAACAAAATATGCATTCATATACATATTAACTTATGAATAGTTTTGCTTGTGTTTAGCACTGTGAGCATGATTAATTATTTTGACATTGTTCAATGCAGGTGACAAACATGTCCTGATAATGGGCAATCATGGAGTCCTTACTGTTGCTCCAACTGTATCCATGGCCTTCGAGATGCTCTATTACCTGGAACGGGCAGCGATGACTCAGGTAAAGCACTTTACTATTCAAAAGTGAAAGATGGTTTAAAGTATCTTTATGTAGGTGATGAATGTTTAATGGGTCTTCATTCAAAAAATTCGAAATTCACATTTTTATTCAAAAGACTGTGTGTGTACAAAGAACTTAAGATTATGTACAATTGTGGGGACAGGAGTTACACACACTAATGAAGCCTCTAGTATTCAAAGTGTTTTGGGCAAAACTTTAAATAATTTGGAACAAATTTATTTACAGCTGTTACAGGGTAAACATTTAATACTAAAATGGAAGCTAACAAAAATTGTAAAAGTTCAAGAAAAATAACAGATAAATACAATAAAAAGATGATACTTATGATGACGGGCATAAACTACACCCTGTATCACATTATGGCATCAGTAGTTTTTAGCAACAGTACAGTAGTTTATTTACATTAATAACAATGAAAATACTGTACTAGGGAGTAATTTAGAAAAGCAACTGGAACATAACAGAACATAAAGTATAATTTAAGCTTAATGGGGCCAACACTTTAAAATAAACAAGGATAAAAAAAGGACACGAGTAAACACTTTATAAATGAAATGCAAAAATTGGATGACATTTAATGAAGAAAGGACATATTATTTAGTAAATAAAATTTAAGACAATATTAACACAATGACAACTTAAAACTAGGGTAAATGTAAGAAAAATTACCTATATGATAATATCATGTACTCAGTATAATAAGTAAATATTTCTTAGTCTCTCTTAAACTGGCTGGGAGATGTGCAGCTTTTAATTACATTTGGGAGGTCATTCCACAATTTGGAATTCTTGATTTCCATAGCATTTCTGCTTTGGTTGAGTCTCACTCTAGGAACATCAAAGAGATGTTTGTTCCTTGTGTTGCAATATGGTTCCATTCATATGAATGAACCATATTGCAACGTATGAAATATGGTTGTAATTACCTTATACAGGAGTGTTAAAATAGTTTTTATACAGGTGAGGGATGATTAAAATTTCTGGTATACATGTGGGTGATTGTTAAAATTGCCTTTATACAGATAACACTTTGAAACTGTTTATTTAGTGCTTCACACGTTTCTTTTTTTTCCATTCACCATGATCTGTTCTCCATTTTCAATCTCTGGATTTTATCCTTTACCTGCAATTTCTTTGTTGTTTTACACTTAATGCAATCCCTTTTTCAAAGTTTGTTCCTGCCTCTCTTCTGTCATATATTGTTTCTTGCTTGTTTATATTGCTGGTACATTTGAGGGGTAGGCCTCTTCCTATACTGATTCCATTTGTTTTTCTTTGTTCTCTAGCCCTCGCACAATTTATGTTGAACCAATCCTGCTTTCTAGTTCTTGTGCATGTACTCACCCAATTGTGTGTGTGTATGTTTACACGTGAAATAATTATCTGAGTGAAATATATTTTAATAATTTCATTGCTTATACTGTACTCCAGATACTGGCAATGTCTACCAAGCAGAAGTTACGAGAGATCTCAGAAGAAGTAATCAAAGCAATGTTTCCAGAATACATGAAGCGAGCCCAGAATTATGCTGATGTGTTTTTCTATGCTTACTACAGACTCCTAAAGCAGTCACAACCTGATTTTGAACAGTGATACATCTTGCCTTTGTATATGCATCTATGCAGTGATGCAAGGCCCAGTTTGCCTAATAAACCGAGTTTTCCTAAAGTTATATATTTTCCAATTTTTTCTTATGAAGTGATAAAGCTTTCCATTATACTGTATTTTTTTTTTGAGTCAAAACTAACATAGACATATGACTAAACCTAACCTCACCTAACCTATCATGCATAGGTTTTGCCTAACCTAACCAAAGGTTAGGGGTAGGCCTCTACTCCTACCTAACCAAAGGTTAGGTTAGCCTAACCAAAACTAACATAACTAAGTTAGTAATTCAAATTCTTAATATAATAATATTACTTAATCCAATTGAAATTTGTTATATATATATATATATATATATATATATATATATATATATATATATATATATATATATATATATATCTCACTAAGAACTCTTTGACCCGGCCAGGATTCGAACCCATGCCGTCTAGGATCACCCCTAAACGTACACAGTACCGTGACCACCGCACCAATGAATCATTGGTGCGGTGGTCACGGTACTGTGTACGTTTAGGGGTGATCCTGGACGGCATGGGTTCGAATCCTGGCCGGGTCAAAGAGTTCTTAGTGATATATGGCTTGCGCGTTCATGCAGCTTTCTCACATATATATATATATATATATATATATATATATATATATATATATATATATATATATATATATATATATATATATATATATATACACACACACACACACACACACACACACACACACACACACACACACACACACACACACACACACACACACACACACACACACACACAGCTCAACCCCCGCAAACACAACTAGGTGAGTACAACTAGGTGAGTACACACACACACACACGTATTATTTAGAGTTAAACGGCAGGTTTTTCTCTGAATGCTCTGTATTCCCTTCTCCAAGGCTATGGGTTCCTACAATTGCACCAGAGGTGGTACCCTTATATTATATAAATAATTATGTATAAGAAAAAAGGTTCCATGGAAAGCAATAAAAGTCACTTGTGTAGTAAGAATCATAGAAAATGTATCTGACACAATATTCACTTTTTATCATTGTGTGCTTGGCCATTTCCTTAAAGAGTTAAAAAAATTGTGTGTAATTTGGTCGATACGACCGTCTAAATTTACTTGTTTATGCTGAGAAAATATTTTCTAGTGTTTGAACTACACTTTGTAATTTTTTTCATATAGAATACGGTAGCATCACATTGCTGTGTACTGTATACCTAAGCTTGTTAATAAAAACAAAAAGAATTCTGGGTTTGAATCCCGGGCAGGACAGAAATTGGGCACATTTCCTATCACTTAATGCCCCTGTCCACTTAACAGTAAGTAGGTACCTAGGAATTATATAGGTTACTGTGGGGTTGCATCATGGGAAGGGTCAGTAATTCGCCATCGATATATGCCTAACGTGTATAAATACACTCTGGCTGCCTTTCCCGAAACACTGAATTATAATATTAATAATAATTTGTTTTGTCTGGGAAAGGAAGTCTGATCTTCCCTCAGGATGCAAGCCCACATCAGTTGGTACCTCCCAAGTACCTTTTTACTGGTAGGTGAACAGAGGCACTAGGTGAATAGAAACGCACCCAACCATTTAGGTCCCAGGATCGAACCTGGGATTCTTAGTTGAAAGTGCAATGAGTTTTAGATGCATTAATTCAGCCCATCCTCTAAACAAAGACCCAAAGTTCATTCCATGCACCTGCCAAACCTCCTGTTTATGAATGAAAAACTATTTACAAACGACTCGCAACTTATGACGTCCGAACACTTCTGGAATAAGTGCTTCGCTGATGAATTTTGTTCGAACCACTACACTGTAAATGCTTCACCCACATACTACAAATACAAATAATTGGCAACAGAACCTAAACACCTACTATAACCTAACCAGTGCCTAAATATGCACAATATGCTAATATATAATAATATTAATTTATATTTGAAATTTTTTTTATTTTGAATGAACAGAACTCTTGTATATTTAAAAAAAAGAAAATTGATGAATGCTTTTTTTTATAAACAAAATTAGGTATACACAGCATTGTGCTGTTATCCTATTCTATATGAGATATTACAGTGTAGATCAAGAACTAGCTATAGGTTTAACTATTATTCCCATCTCACAGGATGGTTAGTCATACAGTACATGGAATCAGGGAAGATAATACCTGTTTTTTTTTTTGTATAGATATATACGAGTTGTTACATTCTTGTACAGCCAATAGTACGCGTAGCGTTTTGGGCAGGTCCCTGGAATAAGATCTCTGACGCGAAGAATCGTTGTTACAACCAAGCACACATTTTACTGTTGTGTTTAACAAAAGCTACAGTTAAGGATTTGCACCCAGTTAATCCTCCACGGCCAGGATATGAACCCATGACAAAGCGCTCGCGGAACGCCAGGCGAGTGTCTTACCACTACACCATGGAGACTGTAAAGAGACTGAGACTGCCTTAATACAAAAATAAACCAACTCTGACTAAACAACCAGCTATAAGTTCATCTAATATTCCCATCTCACAAGATGGTTAGTCATACATGGAATCAGGGGAGAAAATACCAGCCTCAATACAAAAACAAATCAACTCTGACTAAAAATCAGGTGCGAACATATGTAAGGCTGATCTATTAGCCTCCACTAGCACAATCTGGGTACAGCATAAAAATATTTACCAATATTCTTGAGTGTATGAAGTAATTATGGAGCTCAAAGTACCTCAGACCATTAGGTTTAAAATCACTGATAACAGGGCAATCACAGATAGTGTTGGTGAATTCGTCCCAGCTCTTGTTCATATAGTTTACAATTTAATGTTCACCATTGGGAGGATTCATTACCTGCAGCCACCTGCCATAGATATCGATATCCCAGCCTAATTCTGGCAATTACAATATCACACTGTCTAGTGGATGTTTTATGCTACACGTACATATAGTTCCCGATTCAAAACAAGTCATAGCTCTTTATACTCTTGCTTTCTGGTCTTTGAGTGTCATTGACTGCGCTTCTGTTTTCCCTAATTTCCTGAAATATTGAGATTGGAATGCTAATATCCAACTCAATTTCAGGCTTATCACATGCAGTTTTAGCTGCCTAGTCTGTCATGCTGGGCATGAACCGTACACAACGGGCTCACCATAGCCCGTGCTACTTGGACCCTTTCTTCCGTGTAGCTGAATGTAATACAAGAACAACAAGAAGCCGCATAGAATTAACTTTGTCTGAAGACGCGTTGATGAATTATAATTTGTATACTTGTGTGTCATGCATTGTTAAAATGTTGTAAAATAATTGAAGAGGTTTATAATATCTAGATAAATTCAATTGTCAGATAACACGTTAAAATTCTTCAGATCCCTAAACGTATTATGTTACTCATTTGATGGCTTTCACCAACGGTGACGTCATAAGTAAATACACATCAGCTGCAATGTTGTCAGGTTGGGCTACAAATAGCGAATTGTGCTACTTTTGAGAGCCCCGCGCTCCCAAATTTTTAATTTCACTACTTGCTACTTTTTTACCGCTGCCCACTGGATGGGGGGCCGTGTGCAGGACAAACATATAAATTTTAACACTAGCTCTCCACATATGTCAGTTGCTTAAACTTGAGGTCGATCTCGAACCCATTGTTGATGTGACGACTTATACTGAATTTTGTAACTAGCTCATCAAGATTGTAACTTGCTTAGCTAAATGAATTGTGGGGTTCAGTCCCTGAGCCCATTATGTGCCTCTGTAACCCTTTCCACTACTACCACCCACGGGATGGGTATGGGGTGCATAATAAATGAACTAAACTAACTAAAACTACTTTTTGGGCTAATTTAAAAGCAAGATGTGCTAATTTGGGCTATTGAAGTTAAGAATGTACGATTGCGAGTTACATGAAAGTAACTAAGCTATAAATAATTGTAATTAATAATAATTGTAAATATTAATTAATACTAAATAATATTATTTAATAAATTAGTCCCAATTCAATGCAGAGTTTTCTTCCGAGCACAGAAACTTGTAAATATAAATACAAGATAATAGATAGATCGATAAATAAATAGACAACTTTCAAATATTGCACCAAGTAATGGCGAGAGGAAAAAACTAGACAGTATACATTACATTTGAAATTAATAATGTATGAATGGTAATAAATTGGTGTATGTTTGTATGTATACCAGACAAAGTTCATTTAATGGCAGAATTTAGAGATTTTGTGTAAAAACATTTATATCTCATATTATTAATTATAACAGTAATCGAAAAAAAATCATAGTTTGTATATACAAGAGATGAAACAGAGAGCCATGAGCTAGAGCGATGTGCTGAGTCCATAAGGAGGCCGAGCTTCCAGAAATACCTTCCTGTGATTGGCTGTTGCGGGGAATACCAACACTCTTTTATGAATAAAATTTAAACTAAGAAATAGGTCCTTGTGCACAACAACAAGGTTGTTGTGAAAAAGAACAACAATTTCTGTTTTGCACCTGACAGAAATCTCCATCTAACTGAATAATTTACTCGAATACGAGGGCAGAGCAGTGTATCATTATTTGTGTCAAGGCAACCCCCAATGATAACGTCACAAGTTAGGTAGCCAGCCCATTTTTATATAACATTTGTTATATCCTGCAATATTTAATTATCACTTTATTAACACTTTAAATAATTAACACTTCACTTTTTTGGGTAAATTAAAGTTAAAGCAGAATTCCATAAGCAGGACTGGTGGGCTGAACTAAGACGATTTACTAAATGGATGGCACCTATAGCTGATCCCTTCCTGTGATTGGCTGTTGCGGGGAATGCTTAACGCTTATATGAATAAAATGCCAAATAAGATATACGTCATTTTGCTCAATAACCTTGTTGTTGTACAAAAGAACAACAATTTCTGTTTTATACAAGACAGAAATTTCCATCTAACTGAATAATGTAGACCAATAAGAGGACGGAGGCATTGTATCGCCGATATTATTTGTGTGAGGCAACACCCACTGATGACGTCACAAGTTAGGTTGCCAGCCCATGTTTCTGT